AAAAGTATGTCCTTACTAAGCTTGAGTCTGGTTGATCTACCAAGAAGTGATAAAGCATTGTTGAAATCTCCCACTAGTATTGTGTTGCTATCTATTTCTTTTCTCAAGTCTATGATTAGTTGTTTTAAGTATTTTCCTGGTCCGTCATTAAGTGCATATACATTTAGGAGACTGAGTTCTTCCTGATATACAGATCCCTTGATCAATAGGAAATGACCTTCACTGTCTTTTTTGATCTTCTTCAGTCTGAAATAAGTGTGGTCTGATACAACAATGGCCTCTCCAGTTTTTTTGAGGGAATTGTTTGCCTGTAGAATTGTTTTCCAGCCTTTGACTTTGAGTCTGTGTTTGCTCTGACTATTCTGATGTGTTTCTTGCTGGCAGCAGAATGTTGGGTTCAACTTTCAGATCCGTCTTGTCATTCTGTGTCTTTTTTCATTGGTGCACTTAGCCCATTGACGTTGAGAGAGATTATTATTATGGGGTTTTGTCCCATCTTTCTGCCAAAGTTTGGTGTATTTGAGGTGCTTGTCTTGTCTTAAAATGGCCCGTTTATTTCTGAGTTCTTGTAAACATGGTCTTGAGTCTATGAAGTTCGTGAGTTGTTGTTTGTCTGTGAAGCTGTGTGTTGTTCCTTCTGATATGAATGAGAGTCTAGCTGGGTACAGTATTCCTGTGAGGCATTGATTTCATGGAGTTTTTTCACTGTAGCCCACCACTGTCTTTGGGCCCTGAGGGTTTCATCAGATGAGTCAGCTGTAAATCTAAAGGTTACTTACTCCTTTATAGGCAGTTTCTTTCTTTGATTTTGCTACTTTCAGAATTTTATCTCTGTTTTTGGTTTTCATCATTCAGATAAATATGTGTCTTGGGGTATTTTTATTTGGATTTCTTCTAGCTGGTACCCTTTGGGCCTCCTGAATGTGGTCACATGTGTTCTTCAGCTCTGAGAATTTCATAGTAGTGATGTCTTTGACAGTTGCTTCTTCATCAGGGTTTTCTTCCTGTCCTCTGGGACTCTAATGATTCTTTTTCTTTTTAAAGAATGTATTTGACAGCTAAATTTTTTATTTTTATTTTTATTTTTTGCTTTTTTTTGGGGAGGTCACACCTGGCAATGCACAGGTGTTACTTTTGGCTCGTGCACTCAGGAATTACTCCTAGCAGTGCTCAGGCACCATATGGGAAGCTGGGAATCGAACCCGGGTTGGTCGCATGCTAGGCAAACGCCCTACACGCTGTACTATCGCTCCAGCCCTCCAATGATTTTTATGTTATTCCTCTTGGCTTCCCTGATTTTCTCTTGACATTTGTTGGTTTATTTTGAGGTACTTTTCTATATTCTTTTGTTGTCTGGAGATTCTCTGCACCTCATCTTGGAGCTCACTGATTCTGTGCTCAGTAGCTTTTACTCTGGTGCTGAGGCCTTCCATTGAGTTTTTTAATTTGTCTACCAGTTTTTTCAGATGTGTCATTTTTGTTTGTGATTTCGTTTGCATTTTCCTCATTTCGGCTCTCAAAATCTATTGTATTTTATTGGCGGTGCATTCCATTGTTCCTTTTAGGTCCCTGTGTGTCCCTAGTAGCTCCCTTCTAAATTCTTTTTCAGAGAGCTTATATAGCTCACTATTACTGTTTGGGGTATGTGGGCTAGCTTCACTTACTCAGCCTGGTGGGTTTCTGTATTGCTTTACTGTTGTGACCTGTGGGATTTGGACTCTCACGCTCACTGTTGACGATCACGATCATGATCATCCTGTTGTTTGTCAGTTGCCTTGAGCAGGCACCAGTAATGTCTCCTTCGTCCTAGCCCTAAGATTTTAAAAAGTGCCATATTCAAGGCTCTTTCAGGGTTAGGAGAATGAGACTCATCATTGTTACTGGTATTTGGCATATTGGTACGCTACGGGGAGTTTGCCAGACTCTGCCGTGTGGGCAGGTTATATTCGGTAGCCTGCTAGGTTGTCCAAAGCAAGAATGAGATAATAAGATGTTGGGGCCCCGCACTTCTGGGAGCTGGGTTTTATAGTCTCTGGGTCTTGGCTGTTGATGGGATTACACAGCGCTGGGAGGCAGTTGGGTGTGACCCCTGCCTACTGGAAATGGAGGATCTGGGTGGAGGATGCTCAGCCCCATCCGAGTAGTTACTATTGTTATTATTGTTAATACTGTTACTATTTTTGGTGTAATGTTAATTGAGGTGGGGCTAATGAATTATTGGTCTAATGTGTTTTTATCGATCAGGCTTCCCTAGTGAAAGTTCCACACAAGAGGCTATTTTATGGTTCTTATGTGATGTGGAAGGGGAGATTAACTCGCGCTGCCACACCCACCAGGATTGGGAGCCATTGAATCCCTGGAGCTTGGGTCCTTGTGGTGGAGGCACCCTGCTTTTATTGCTGTCTCTCATAGGTCCCTTTTTTTCTTATTTTTAAAACAGTGAAGTGACTCCAGGGGCCATAGAGATAGTGCAGTGGGTAAAGCACTTTCCTTGCATGTGGCTGACCTGGGTTTGGTCCCCTGAGCATTTCCAGGAGTTATCCCTGGGCACAGAGCCATCTGCTTTCCCAGCAGAATGAATCATGTACCCTTTTAAGTTGAGGTCACCACTTACTTGCTTTCCTGCATTCTTGAAAGAAAGAAAAATTGTTTTTGCCACTGATTTAGCCATATGAAACTCATATCTTCGCCCTTTTCTGGGTCTGAAGCTGCTGTCTCTAATAGTGCCTTTTATTGGTTAGTGCTGGAGAAATCTTGAATCACTTATATACAAAACTTTTTATATTATTTTGAGACTTTGCTTCTGTAGAATTGGGGCACAGTGACCCACTTGGAGGGGCCTGCAGTATGGTCTTTGAAAACATCCTTTCCTTCCTACCCAACTCCCCATGTTTAGTGAGATTCTGTGAGGTCTGTTCAGTGTGCATCCACCCTGAAGCTTAGTGGCTTAAAATGCCCCTGCCTCCTTTAGTGTGACCTCTTTGGGGTCCGATTGGGAGAATGGGGAACCAATAAAGCAACTGTTTTGATACTGAAAATGGACACGTGTCTTTTTGAAATAAAGAAACAGTCCTTCACCTCACCTCCCTCCTCCCCCCCAAAAGTGTAGCAGTTTAAAATTTCTTACAGGCTTTAAACGTAGTTCATGTAATTTTTGTATTTTTATAATTCATTGAATTAATAGAAAGTGATGTATTTTTTGAATTTTAATTGGTTTTGTTTTTGAGCCATATCTAGCAGCAGCGCTTACTCCTGCCTCTGTGCTTAGGGATCACTCCTGGCGGTGCTCAGGGAACAATATGAGATGCTGGGGATTGAACTTGGGTCAGCTGTGTTCAGGGCAAGTGCCCTGCCCGCTGTAGAATCACTCAGGTCCCTAAAGAAGTGTATTTTTGAATTAAAATTTCTGTTATTTAACATTCAGGATATTTGTATCTTTTAGATCTATTATATTAAGGAATTTGAAGCCTGTCTTTTTTTTCCCTAAAAATTATTTAGGTAGTTTTGCTTTGCATTTCTGTACATGGTTCAGGAGTGCTTGTTCATGTATCTTCCAGAATCTGAAGAATGCCCACCGTGCCGGCCGTGGAGTGCTGAGACTGCTCTGCCCCTGTTGACTTGGCTGTTCTAACCCTTTTTCTGCCCTTTGTCCTTCTCTCTGCAAACTCAGGTCTGTGCCAACCCCTAAGGGTTAGCTTTGGATTGGTTTTTGTCTTGCTTTCTGACTTCACATAGCCATCTCAGGTGGAATACCTGGTATTTGTCTTTCTCGTCCCAACTTATTTTTCTTAACAACATCTGCTCATCTATTTGTGTTGTCAGAAAAGACCTGATTTCTTCTGTTGTTCAGCTTCATATATTCTGTTGTATCACATATATTTAATTCACTTGTCTATTGTTGTGAAGTTTGTTGTTTTGCTTACTTTCATTAAGATATATATACATATATATATATACAGCATGTTAATTTATAGCAAAATATTTGTGAATGACTAGTTGAATTGACAGTAAGGGTTGTTTACTTAGTCACAAAATTCTGCTCCAGTGAGCATTGATAAGTGAATACAAAATTATTAATTTTTTTGGTTTGTTTTTGTGTTGGGGGCTGTACCGGACAATGCTTAGGGGTGCTCACTCACCTGACTGCACTCAAAAATCACTCCTGGTGGTGCACGGGGAACCCGGGTTGGTTGCATGCAAGGCAAACACCCTGTCCCACTGTACTATTGCTCAACACACAACCCCCCCTCACATATCTGCACTAAAAAAATTGGGATAAATAATTGTAAAATAGTATGAATCAAGATTTAAGGTGTAGAAATTATAGTATGTGTTTTCTAAAGAAAAGTCCTGTAATTTTTGAAGGAAAATATACACTAGGTACATTGTATGAGATGATACTACAGAAAGTTTTCGTTATACTAAATTATTAATTGAAAGGTGTAAATGGGTAGGAACACACAGACACATGTTCACGCACGCGCGTGCGTACACACACACGCAAGTATTTGCTTTGTGAATGATGGACAGTACTTACACCAACCACAGTTTGCTATCATTAGGGTCTTTAAGGTGAGATTAAAACAGTAAAGGTCATTTGAACTGTTGCAGAAGAAATTTTAACACTAGCAAGCTGTGTGATGTTAGATGTTTTCATTTTCATAGTTTCAGGATTTTTCATCTTACTGGTTGCTTTAGGTAATTTTAATTGTCACACATTGTACATTAAAGTTACTGTCAGAAGCATGTAAACCTTGAACTTGCTCCTTTAGTTTTCAGTGTTATTTTATATTGTAATAAAAATTTCAGTTGTATGGTTTTATGGGCTGGAAAGAGACCTCAGTAGACTGAGTGCATGCTTTGTGGGATGCCTCGGTTTGATTCCTGGTTATTTGTTGTTGTGAGCACCACTCTGTGTGTGCATGTATGTTTGTCTGTCTGTCTGTCTCCCCTTCCTCAACTCCTAATATCAACTAATATCATAAACATTTTTCATTTAGATTTTCTGCAATGGTGAAATGAAGTAACTCAAGATGAGCAAGTTAAAAGTGATATCAGAGAAGAGGTATGGTTATTAAAATTATCAATATGTATAAATCACAGAAATATAAAGAGCTTATTTGAAAATTATTACTTTAAAACTACTTATGTTTTAATGGGCTGAAGCGATAGCCCAGCATTAGGGCGTTTGCCTTGCACGCAGCCAACATGGCCAACTCGAATTCAATTCCTCCGCCCCTCTCGGAGAGCCTGGCAAGCTACCGAGAGTATCTCGCCCGTGCGGCAGAGCCTGGCAAGCTATCCGTGACATACTCAACATGCCAAACACAGTAACAACAAGTCTCATGATGGAGATATTACTGGGCCCGCTCGAGCAAATCAGTGAACAACGGGAGGACCGAGACTGTGACCGTGATCGATGTTTTAATAGCAGTTAGACCCCCACCCCCAACACACATATTTTTCTCCCTACCTTTATTTAAGCACTGGGATTTACAAAGCTGTTCATAGTAGAGTGGTTTTGGGCATTCGTGTTCCAACACCATTCTTATCACCAGTTTGACCTTCCCTCCACCAGTGTCCCCAGTTCTCCCCTACTTTCCCCAACCTGCTCCCTTAGCAGCAGAAAATTTATTTTATATTTTTGGTACAACAAAATTTTAATTAGAATATAAAAAAATTTTCCGTAAAAGAAAATTTGTAAAACTGCTATATCTCACAATGGGATTATTAAAGTCCTCGAGGATTTACTGAGCTGTTCGTTGCTACTTGAGCCTTCTGTGCCACTGTCTTTGTTTATTAAGCCTGTTGGGTTTCTCCCTTCCTCCGTATTCACTCTTTCTGTTAGTTTTGAAAGGGGGCTGCAGACATTGGTGCTATGATGGGGCTGCACACATGATAATGCTGTGATGGCGCTGCACATGTTAGTACTGTGATAGGGCTGCACATGTTTGTTCTGTGAAAGGACTGCACACATATTCGTGCTGTGAAGGGGCTATGCACATGTTAGTACTGTGAAGGGTCAGGAGTTGTTAGTGCTGTGATGAGGCTTCACATGTTGGTACGGCAATGGGGCTGCACACATATGATGTGAAGGGGCTGCACACGTGTTAGTGCTGTGAAGAGGCTGCACACACGTTAGTGCTGTGCAGGGACTGCACGTGTGTTAGCGCTGCGATGGGGGCTGTACACGTGTTAGTATTGTGAAGGGGCTGATTTTGTCCTAGTACTGTGATGGGTCTGCACACGTGTTAGTGCTGTGTAGGGGTTGCACACATGTTAGTGCTATCTAGGGGCTACACACATGTTAGTGCTGAGAAAGGACTGTACACATGTTAATGCTGTGAAGGGGGTATACACTTCTTAGTGCTTAGTGACGGGGCTGCACACATGTTAGTGCTTTGAACATGGGGCTGCGTACGTGTTAGTTCTGTGAGGGAATGGGGCTGTACACATGTTAGTACTATGAGGGAATGACGCTGCACACATATTAGTACTTTGAGGGAATGAGGCTGTACACGTGTTAATGCTATGAGGGAATGGGACTGGACACATGTTAGTGCTGTGAGGGGCTGCACACATCTTGTCAGTTTTGCCTGCTGTAGGTGCACGTTTGGTGATGGTGTGGTGCTCATGCCTATGTTTGCTGGGTGTCATACTCTTGATTGCATCTTTTTAAAAAAGAAGTTTCAGTGCTCACACATACCTGGCTCCAGTTTGCTGGGAATTTCTTGGGTTGCTGGGCTCACAGCCGGCAGAGGTGTCAGGCATGCGAGAGCTGTTAGGGCAGTGATCTGCGACTGGTGACTCGGGGTCAGACTCATGCTCTCCTGTGTGCATGACCAGCATGTCGGCCTCTGCTCGCCCCATTCCATGTTTTCATCGTACCCACGTGAGTCTTTCCCTGGAGAATCCTTGTTGAGCACCTGATTGGTCTTGGGGATGAGTTAACTTGGGAGGTATCAGAAGTTGTTGGTCACCAACCTCAGCCAATCGCAGATATCTTCATATTGCAGTACTTTAGAAAATTTGCTTTTCTTATCTTACTCACACCTTTGAAACCCTGTATTATATAAATACCCTCAGCACATTTTTAAAAAAATTTTATTTATTGATAATCACCGTAAGAATAGTCACAAAGCCTCAAAGAATAGTCATAAAGTTTAAGTCTTGGTCGGTCGTACAATGATCAAACACCCATCCCTTCACCTGTGCACATTTTCCACCACCACGAACCCCGGTATACCCCCTCCCACCCTTCCCTCTGCCTGTGTGGCAGATTTCCACTTTATTCTCTCTCCGTTGATCACATTCAATATTATGACATAAGACCCATCATTATTCTTTGGAATTTTCCCCAACATTCAGACCTGCCAAAAAGACATTAGTTTGTTTTCTCTTGCTGATTATGAAGAGCATATGATGTCGTGCAGCTGCTAATGTGGCCACGTAATTTTGGATTTTTGATATTTTAGTAATAAGTCTAGAGGGATTGCTGCCAAAAGCCGCTGGGTTCTGAGATTGGTTTGTGTGCCGCACATGGTTGTTCAGGAGCAGGAGGAGGCATTCGTGGGTGGCATCTCGGGGCCTTGTAAGGGCTGGAAGCAGGGCCGGTTCCACCCCCAATCCTATGAGGCCCCATGTGCCTTGTTACTGCAGTCTCATACTTGGCTGTCCATTAGGCTCTAAAAGATGGCAGCCACCATGCCGCCACCGCCAGGGGGGAAAGGTGGAGGGACAAATACCCATCCCCTCCCGGGGTGGCATAGCACTGTAGTTTAATGCACAGTCCAGATGCATTTCGGTTGGGCATTAAGTTTTGCTCACATTTTCCCACCACCATTCAAGCCTGCCTTTCAGGGACAGACGCTAGATCATTTACTTTCCACATTGCTCACATTGCATATAGGGAAACGTTGCATGGCCGCATACGCAGCCGTGTGGTTTGGAAGAATAGTCCTGGTGCCCACATACCTGAGCCATGCTTATAGAAGCTCATGGTTGCCAAGATTCCATCTGGAGAAGGCGGGGAGACAGCACCTACCCCATCTGGGACCTCCTGGGGATATCGGCTCGGTATGGGGCCCGGAGAATTCTCCGGGTGTTGTGGTGCCCGCCGGCCAGGTTTCTTCACTGCTGTGTGTGGCAAGATCAGCAAATGGTTTTAAGAAGAACTTGTGCTATTGCTTTGAATAGAGGAACTAAAACTGATTTCTTCATACTCACCATGCTTCAGTCTCTCTTGTCTGATTATAATTCTTCATTACCACCCCATTTTTCACCTCAGGCAGCTACTGACTTGCTTTCTGCCACTGTAGGTTTGTTTGCTTTTCTCGAGTTAGTTAAATGGAGAGTTAGTTGTAAGGACATGGACCAAATTCTGTTGAAATTTATACGCAGCAATAAAACCTACTAGCTAAGTAATCCAGGAACAAAGACGGGAGGCCTTTCCCTTCCCAAGACAGTTATCAATGCTGTGGTGGTCACAGGTTGGTCCTGAATGAAGAAAATTGAGACCTAAGAAATGGGTTTGGGCCTCCGCAGCTGCTTCCAGCATGGAGCAGAGGCCGCATGCGATACTTGAACATGGGATTGATCATGGGAGACACACAAGATTGTGAGGGACACATATGAGGGGGCTGCAGGAGCCGGGGACCCTCAGCTAGCGGCATCTGCCACTCTTGGCGTGCACGAGGTCCCAAAGGGCTCAGGGACCTCAGGTCTAGGTCCTGAGGCACCAAGACCAGCCAGAGTAACTCAGTACTCCCTGCCTGGCGCCCACCCACAGGGTCACTCTGCAAGGTGGGGTGACCTTGGGACCCCATCAGGAGGGGCTGAGGGAGCCGCGTCAGGTGCCGAAAAGGTGCCTGGGAAGTGCCCCACCCTGCACAGCCTCCAGTGACAGGGTAGGTGGCCACACCTATGGGGCTCTAGCCCTGCCTCTGGGCTCTGCGGATGTGCCCGCTGCCTACTGCCTCCTGCCTGCGAGGGCACGCTCTGACTCAGAACAAGGCAGTGCAGTTGGACATGGCGCTCTTGGCTTCAGGAGGCCCCCTGGAGGCCTCAGCTTGTGCCTGATGCCCGCCTCGCCCTCTGCTCTGCCCACACTGACCCTGCACAGGCTGTGCTGCCTCCTCCCAGCCCTCAGGTGCCCATGGCGGCCAGCAAGAGGAGCGCCTGGAGCCCGTCACATGTCACCACTGATGTCACTGTGTCATCTGTGGCTTCATGAGTCACCCATACATGTGTGTCCCTCACGATCTCATGTGTCTCCTGTGATCGATCCCAGGTACAAGTATTGCATTAATCATGTATATATCACCTGTGATCTCACACAAATGTCACCTGTGGCATGTGATCCCATGTGTGATCCCATGTGTCACCTGTGGTCTTGTACAGGCATCGCCTATGGTATCGTATACATGTGTAATCTGATTATACATGGGTCTCATACGTGTGTCACTGTGATGTGCATGTGTCATCTGTGTTCTTGTACATGTGAGTCACCTGTTTCTACAGAAGCTCACCTGTGGTCTCATGTATATGTGTGTCATTTGTGTCTCTATACATGTGTCACATCCCTCTCGGAGAGCCTGGCAGGCTACCAAGAGTATCCTGCCTGCATGGCAGAGCCTGGCAAGCTCCCTGTGGCTTATTTGATATGCCAAATACAGTAACAATAAGTCTCACAATGGAGTCGTTACTGGCGCCTGCTCAAGCAAATTGATGAACACCGGGAGGACAGTGCTACAGTGCAGTTAAATGGAACCATGTCATATGCTTTTGGAGGCTGTGGGTCTGATTTCTTTTGCTCAGCACAGGAATGGGATTGTTGGATCACATGTTAGATTTTTGTTACTTTTAGGAAATTGCCAGCAATGTTTTTTTCTCAAATATGTCATCTTAATATTTCTGTATCCCTCCTAGCACATATGAGAGTTTTGTTCATATGTTATTTATTTATTTTAGCACGTATGAGAGTTTTGCTTACATATTATTTATTTATTTTGGGAGAGGGCCACAGCCAATGGTTCTCAAGACTTCAGTCTCTGCACTCAGGGATCA